AATCACCAAGGTTGTCTAATCCTCCTTGGCTTGGAGACCTTTCTCCTTTCTGCCTCCCATCAGCTCCATTGCTGTGGGCCCCTGTCTCTGTCCAAAAAGGGGAGGGGGGAGGGGAGCCAAAGAAAGAGATCCCAGCAGCAGGGAATTAACATTCCAGGATCTAGGGGAAACTATGTGGTTCTTTGGGAGGAGAGAAAAAGAGGCTGAAAGGCAAGGAAAGAACCCACCCAGCAGGAAAGCCTGTGAAAGCAAGAGTTTGCAAAGGAGGAAGGCCTGTCACCACAGGATCCAGCTGCCAGGCATGCTTTGATGTGGGGAGAGGGGGTTGGTCACAGCTGGATGATGGGGGGGTGTCTTTTCCCTTCTGCAAGCTATCCCCCCCCCATCAAAGGCCTTCCTGGTGCAATGATATCAAATTGCACTTAAGCTGGTAGGCCTCCAGGGCTTTTGAAATGACAGCGGTCTCAGTTGCTTCATCTTCCTTTCCCCTCTACTTTCACCTCCCCCACTGTGGCCTGACACTCTGATAAGTAACTCCAATCCCCCCCCCCTTTTTTAACAGAGGGTTAGATCAAATGAGAGGCAGTCAGGGAGTCCAACTCATTCTAATGCTAAGCAAGCATGCATGTGGGCATAAGACAGAGATCCAAAACCATCAGTATTTTTTGAACCTGGGATATATGGATTGGATTTAAATAGCACTGAAGCTGGGTTTTTTTAACCATGGTTTATTTAGTACAGTGGTTCTCAACCTTTTTAATGCCGTGACCCCCAACCGGTCGTAAGTCGAGGACTACTCAACCAGTTGTAAGTCGAGGACTACTCAACTGGTGCAGCACCGTTTGCAGAATGGGACTTTTGGCGGGCTCAGCAGGGCAGAGACAGCCTGGACAATTCCTATTGGCTTTTGAAAGCCAATAGAATTAGACTCTATTCAAGAGAGTCTATTCTATTGGCTTTCAAAAGCCAATAGAATAAAAGGGAGTAGCACAGCTAAGGAAAAGGGGGAAAAAATGGCAGACTGCGTTGTTTGGCGACCCCCGTGAAATGGTCGTTCGACCCCAAATGGGGTCCCGACCCACAGGTTGAGAACCACTGATTTAGTAAAACCACCCATGGCCGAATTTCAAAAGACATGATGCTATAAACCATCATAGCTGGAGACATATATTGGAATATTCTTTATTGACCAAGTGTGATTGGACACACAAGGCATTTGAGTCTCGGTGTACATACAAACAGCAAAGTGATAAGTCATAGATCATAAATCCTAAGATACAATCATAAATATACAAACAAGTGATAAATCATAAGATGCCAATGGGGGAAGGTAGTAGGAAAGGTGGGAAGATGAGAAAGATAATATTGAGTTAAGCCTGAAACCAGGAAACCAAGTCAAACTTTCCCTATGGTTTTACATTATACATGAATCTAATTACTAATTGCACACCTAAATATACTATAAAGCCTTGATCTGGTTAATTATATCCAACATTCTTATTTCAATTTAAGCATTTCTGGACAGGTGCAGGAAGTAAGTCTTTTCAGGTCCTTTCTAAAGAGAAACACATTTTGCCTGCTATGAAAATGAATGTGTTTTAACTTAGCCAAAATGTACAGCTTGGCTTACTTCATTCGTTTCTTTACCGCTCTTGTTTTCTCCTTCCGCTGTTGTTTATCCAAGGAAAGCTGCATTGCTTGATTATCCTCTTGCTTGAGCTTTCCATCTGTTTATCAGATAACATATTTCAAACTCTCAAGTCAAGCCACTTGCTTCATGTTTCACCCTTGCCAGCTCTCTAATCTTGGTTACCAAGATTTGGTTCTGATTGTAAAACTCTGCATGATAGTCCCTAATATTTGGGGGAGGGAGCTGCTTTCAAAACTAGTCTTTAAAAGTGGGAAAATGAAATGGTTTTGCCTCTATTAGTGTTCCCACTATTATTGCATCCTTTTTTAAAAAAATTGAAAGATAGCAGATCATAAGGTAAATGGGCCCAGGTGGGCTGTTTGGGTATATTTTGTCTCTCCCAAATGTAACTTTAGGCATCTTCTCTTTGCTTACAACTATGATTTAGCTCAGGCACGCTGGCTGAGGAATTCTGGGAGCTGAAGTCCACAAGTCATAAAAGGGCCAAGTTTGAAGATCCCTGATTTAGCTTATAGGAACTGAATATTATTTCTTTGTTGCTTGGAGAAAGAAAAGTTGGAAAGGGGAGTGAAGAGATTAGATAAAATGAATACAAAAAAGCTGTTGAGACTCTAGAAAGAGTGTAGAGAAGAGCAATGAAGATGATTAGGGCACTGGTGACTAAACCAGTGGTTCTCAACCTGTGGGTCGGGACCCCATTTGGGGTCGAACGACCATTTCAGGGGGTCGCCAAACAACACAGTCTGCCATTTTTTCCCCCTTTTCCTTAGCTGTGCTACTCCCTTTTATTCTATTGGCTTTTGAAAGCCAATAGAATAGACTCTCTTGAATAGAGTCTAATTCTATTGGCTTTCAAAAGCCAATAGGAATTGTCCAGGCTGTCTCTGCCCTGCTGAGCCCGCCAAAAGTCCCATTCTGCAAACGGTGCTGCACCAGTTGAGTAGTCCTCGACTTACGACCGGTTGAGTAGTCCTCGACTTACGACCGGTTGGGGTCGCGGCATTAAAAAGGTTGAGAACCACTAGACTAAACCATACGAAGAATGCTTGTGGGAACTCACTATGTTTAGTCTAATGAAGAGAAGGATTAGGGGTGACTTGGTAGCAGACTTCCAATATTTGAGGGGTTGATACAGAGAAAAGTGGCTATTCTCCAAAGCACCTGAGGGCAAGACAAGACGGATGGAAGCTTGACAAAAAGACACTCAACCTAGAACTAAGGATACATTTTCTATCATTGAAAACAATTAATCAGTGAAATGGCTGATTAATTGAGGGTGCTCCATCACTGAAGGATTTCAAGAAGATATTGGACTACCATTTGTCCAAAATGATATAGGCTCTCCTACTTGAGCAGGGGGTTGGACTAGAAGACCTCCAAGATCCTTTCTGTTATTCTCTAATTCAGAGCTAAAAGAAGGAATGCATTCTTGCAGCCCCTCCCTCCAAAAAAATGGGATTATGTTGAAGTTTTTAAAAGAGAAAGTTTTGCCTAAATTCTAAGGGGATAGAATGGGGGGAGGAAGATTAAGTCCCGGATATAGTATACTAACCCTTTGGAACAAGGAATAGGTTATAAAGTGCAACTTGGTGTCCTTTAGCTGCTTTGGATATATGATAGTAAGTAAATTTATTGTTGTAACCATGGGTCATAACATAATATATAAAATACAATAAAGTAACTGTAAAGCACTGTAAGATAAAATAACAAAAGGAGGATTGGATGTAAAATGTTACTGCAAAATCAGGCCAAGGCTACAGCTAAGAACTTAAATAGTTCTTTTTAAATCTTCATGACAGCAGAGCAAAAGTAGCAACTTGATTGCTGATGGTTGGAAACACATCTGCAAGAGGAATCTTTCCCCCCCCCCCTAGACTGGAGGCCCTAAGTCAGGGGTCTTCAAACTTGGCCCTTTTATGACGTGTAAACTTCAACTCCCAGAATTCTTCAGCCAGGCACGCTGGCTGAGGAATTCTGGGAGTTGAAGTCCACAAGTCATAAAAGGACCAAGTTTGAAGACTCATGCCCTAAATTCACCTACTATCAATAATTTGGCCTTAATCTCATTGTACATGGGGCGATGAAGAACATAGTAGCTCAAGTCACAATGGACAGTCAAGAACTGGAAAACAGGTGTACCAGACAACAGGGACCAGGAGAAATGTCTTCTCTGCTTCAGTTCCTGCCCTCTGGAACATTCTCCCTCCAGAAATTAGGGTGGCCCCCCCAACTCTGCTGATATTTAGAGAGGTCTTGAAAGCCTATGTGCCCAGGCTGAGGTCCCCAGTGTATGTAGGGTCCCTTTTCCTAGTTGTGTTAACACTGTTAGATTTTTAACTTTTAGCTGCCATTTGTATTTCTTTTCTTTTCTTTTTGCATTGTGTTTTAACCATGTTAATGGGGGGGGAGGGGGTTGTTCGCTGCCCAGTCATTGGCTTGAGATGAGCAGCTACACAAATTGAATGAATGTGACTTAGTCAGTCAATCAAACCAGACTCTTAATTTCCCACCCTTAGATGGATGTTTTAAAGTAGCGGCAGTCCATTTCAGATTTCATAGCTGACCAGGTGACCAAGGGATCCTCCAGAAGCAGCAGACACCTTTTCCCAGGTGTGCTAGCTGGGCATGATAAGGATTGTCACCAATCACATTTGGAGGGTACCAGCTGAGGGCAACTTCGCCAAAGATGCTGCCCTGTTAAGTGATGGGAGGAAGAAACCACATAAATCGTTTTTTTTTTTTTTTTGCAGCTGTTGCTGGGGCAAGTAAGATCCCCAACGCGGGGCGGGGCAAGACCAAAATGAGCAGAGAAGTGGGGGTGGGGCTGGGGGTGGCGGAGGAGCCTTCCGAGCTCTGCCAGACGGGAGGGTCTGTCTTTAAGGGGGCGGGCTCGGAAGGCTGGGAAAACGAGGCAGGATCCCCTTGCCCGGCATCTCCGCCTTCTTCGCCTCTCGGAATCTTTGCATCCCATTGTCTGGCCCGGCGGATCGGTGCTGGAGAAGGGGAAGGGTCCTTTTTTTCCCCCGGGGCTGGGAAACCGGGAGCCGAGGGGGGGGAGGGGTGAAAGCAAGCAGCACGCAGCTCCTCCGGGAGAAGTTTGCATCAGTTTCGCTCCTTCCCCCCCCTCCCGCCCCGTTTTTGAAAAGAAATGGCGCTTTTTGATTTGTGCGTATGTCTAGCCCGCTGGAGAAGCCGTTAGTGGGTGCATTTGTTAAAGCAGAGGGGGAGACGGGGTCGTTTTGGGGAGGGGGCTGTATTGAGGAGGGTTGGGCTGGGGACGGAGTGGGGTGGTGGCAAACCTGTCCTCTGATTGGCTGTTTGGCCCCAAAGATTTGGTAGGGTGGGTGGGAGGCAGTGAAAAGGGCAGAGGGGCGATCAGGCAGCTAACTTCAGCCTGGAGAGATGGAGAAGCCCCTTACGTTCAGACAGACGTCCAGCTTTTAATCTGACTTAACCAGCAACAATAGCCTTTCACTGGTGGGTGCTTGCTTATCTTTTATTACCTTGATTTGATAATGATTCTATGCTTGTACCTTACTGTAGTGTGGGTCCCTTTGAGCACTAAGGATAATAGGATGGAAAGGTAATAATTATTTTCTCATAAAAGGTTCCTGAGGATCCACCCTGGCTGAGGGGTGGTCTGGAATTGATGAAGGGGTTTTAAAAATGACATGTTGAGACTCTTCAGATTGTATGAGTGGACATTACCTTTTATAGGTGCTTTTTTAAAAAAAAGACATTTTCTTTTCCTTAAAAATAAGTTTTGACTTGTTCTCTCTTATGCTGGCTTTCTGCTTGCAGGTAGTTAAAATGCACAGAGGGTCTTCCATTGTAGTCAAAATGGAATGTCCGTTCTAGAAAGTTAGAACCAGATTGTCTCATTTCTCCTCCATTCTGAAAGCAGGTGTGACCAGAAGATTGGGTCGAGGTGTATTTATGATGACTGCTAAGGTAATGGGGGGGGGGACCTTAGACAAGAAATATCCACTAGTCATCCCGGCAGGAGCTGATGTCCAGCACAGTGAAAGGACCCCAGGATGAGGAACGTCAAACTCGCCCGTTGTCTTGGTAGTGAAATAATCATTGTAGAGTTGTTTTAAAAAAGGGTAGTTTTGCTTTATGACAGATATTTGAACAGACCAGGATCTCAATGGCTAAAACAGAGTTACAGTTCTTATCTTTCATCTATATTTACCAGGTATCGTAAGGTAAACTCTCTTACCAAATTCATTTATTCTGCCTTCTTCAGTCTGGACTCCTCCTGTTAGCTCCCTTCCCAGAATGAAGGGGGAATGAGAGAATCCAGTTCTAACTTTCTAGAATGGACATCCCATTTTGACAACAATGAAATATTCTCCATGTGCATAAGGGAGAACAGATGAGAACTTATTTTTAAGGAAAAGGAAATGCCTTTAAAAAAAAAAGCACCTATAAAAACTAATGTCTTCCACTCTACTTTTGCATCTCAAGAGTCTCAACATTTCATTAACTGGGCAGTCAAAAATGTAACAGTTAAATTCCACAGAGCTGGAAAACACCCCATTGGGAAAAATTGACGTGGTCTATCCTAACCCATACTAGGCTCTTTAGAAATTCTATAGAGCAGTGGTTCTCAACCTGTGGGTCGGGACCCCATTTGGGGTCGAACGACCATTTCACGGGGGTCGTCAAACAACGCAGTCCGCCATTTTTTTCCCCCTTTTCCTTAGCTGTGCTACTCCCTTTTATTCTATTGGCTTTTGAAAGCCAATAGAATAGACTCTCTTGAATAGAGTCTAATTCTATTGGCTTTCAAAAGCCAATAGGAATTGTCCAGGCTGTCTCTGCCCTGCTGAGCCTGCCAAAAGTCCCATTCTGCAAACGGTGCTGCACCAGTTGAGTAGTCCTCGACTTACGACCGGTTGAGTAGTCCTCGACTTACGACTGGTTGGGGGGTTGCGGCATTAAAAAGGTTGAGAACCACTGCTATAGAGGAATGGCTTAATTTTCATTTGCTACCTGATTCACTGAACCAGAAATGTTGGGTGTGAGAATTGCATGCAAAGCCTGAGAGTCTAGGACGGCCAGATTGCAAAAGGTAAACTTCTTCCATCTTCCAGACTGATGTAAATGGATAATCTTATAGCCTGATCTTAATTTACCTTACAGCTTAGTAAGGTTTAGTTAAAGGTTTTGTAATGTTTGTGTGAATATATATTATCTCTGAAGCATGTTGAATGCTAGGTCCAAAAAGTGTAGTCTGAAGTTGTATGAAGTAATCTAACAGAAGCCAAATAAAGTTTTGGCTGGAATGGAAAGTCTTTGGGTCCCATTCTATGGAAGAGAAATGGTACATAGAATTTCATAAATTTCATAATTGGAGGGGACATCAAACTCATTGAATTGAATCTCCTGTTTAGGACAGAAATCCAGATTTTAGCACTCATACAGAGAGTTGTCCACTTGCTCTAAACGCATCTAGAGAAGGGTTCACCACCACTTCAAGCCGTTCCCCAGTGATTCCATTCCCAAAAAATGGTTCTTGCCACTTCAAAGTTTCTCTTAATATTCAACTGAAATGTGCTGTCCTGTAACTTAGAGATCTTTATCCCACATCCTGTACTTGGGCCACAGAAAAATATGCTACAGTACCAGTGCTTGAGGCCTATTTGGATATTTTATACTTTGGGAACATTCCTCTGATAATGATGATGATTGGGAATCCCAGCAATTGTAGACCAACACATTAGAGTTATAGGTCAAACTGTTTATATGGAGATTCCTCTTCTTTGCCTGTCTTGGAATAGATTCTGTTTATGGATTCTGATCATCTTTTTCTTCCTTTATCAGCCAGGAATTGCTACAATTGGAATTTATTGGAAATGACCCCTGGGGGCCTCTACGGTGGTTGGACCCTCCTTTTCTTGCTTCTGGCACCCCTTTTCTGCCATCCGTGCCCCATTCCTTGTGAATGTTCGGAGGCAGCTCGTACAGTGAAGTGTGTCCAGAAGGAACTGACCTCCATCCCAACTGGCATTCCTGGGTACACCCGCAATCTCTTTATAACTGGCAACCAGATTGCCCATGTTGGTAGCCAAGATCTCCAAGGACTTCACAATCTGGTCACACTCTCCTTGGCTAACAACAGGTAATGCACCCTAGTGGGTGAGAAACTGCACTCAGATGAAATGGAGTAGGATAGGAGACAGGTTTGCCCTTGTTATTATTGGCTTAAGAAGGCTACAGGGTGGGAGCATATTAGGGTAAGGACCTCAAGCCTTGGAGGAAAAATACAGGTAGACCTAGATTTACAATCACAATTGGGACTGGAACTCTATCACTCAACAAGGCAGTTAGGTGAATTGTGCCCAAATTTGTGATCTTTTTCACTGTGAATAACTCATTTCTTAAAGAAATCTGACTTCCTCTGTTGACTTTTCTTATTAAAAGCCAACTGGGAAAATTGCAAATGGAGACCAGGTGACCCCCCTCCCCCAGGACACTGCCACCATCATAAAGACATGCCAGTTGCCAAGTGCCCGAATTTTGATCATGTGACCATGGGAATGCTATGAGGGTTGTAAGTGCAAGGACTAATTATAAGTTATTTTTTTTTCCAGCACTATTTGTAACTTCAAACAGTCACTAAATGAATGGTTGTAAGTCAAGGACTATCTGAGAATATGGTGGCCACTTTCTCAGAATGATTGCCAGGAGAGGGAGTTGCCCAGACTCAACCCAGCTGCTCTGTCAGCTACAACATTCCCAACTACCAAAAGATAAATAGTGAGGATGTTCCTTGTTGCTCCCTCAAGCTGACCCAAGATACTACTGAACCCCCAGTTCATCTTTGACAGGGGGTTGATGGGAACACTTCCAAGCAAAGGATTATGCTATGCAAAGGCCTCCGTTTTTATTATTACCAGCCTAATGCAACATTGGAAGAAAATGATGTTGGAGATCGGCCCTGTTTTTTTCTCTCTCTCCCTCCCTCTCTCATATAAAGCACATACTGTATATATAAAGCATATATAAAGCAGGATGTTTAAACCTTGTCTCCATAATTGAACGTAGTCAAGGCCTTGCGATACACATGGCAGAATCTTAAGTTATGGAAAGCTGCCTTTGTATCAGAATTAGATTGGATCCATGGCCTGTGCTGTGCATGAGGCATCGTGATTAAAGTATTATTCCCAAATGCTGGTTCAGAAAATTCCGGGAGTTGAAGTCTTAGACTTGTCAGTTTGAAAAACATTGATGTAAATTGTGAGCATGAGGCCTACACTTCATTAGTGGCAGCCAACAATTTGGTGTTTTTCAGCCTGTGTAGTCCAGTGTGCAATTTTTATGTAATCCAACTATACAGTTATAATCCTCATTGCATTATTCCTGGGCCTTGGATGCAGGTTTCCTTTGGGTCAGTCCTGGAGAAAACCAAATGGGAGAATGAACATCAGTTCTCCACATTCTCTTGGTGCTTTGCAAATTCTCTGATTGTAATTCCATACCTCGTGTTATCAGAAAACCCGATCTAGTCAATTTCATAATTCCTTCTGGTTAATGTCACGATGCTGATTAAAAAAAATGGGCTTTACTACCTTCTTTATGTGAGCTGTTCGAAGTCCTCCTGGCTTGCAGATGCTTATGAGCCCAAGGAAGGGGGGATTTATTAAAGCAGCCTGCACTTTTCCCCAGTAAAATCCCACAAATTAAAACTGCACATCTTTGTTCTCAGCTGTCAAACAACGTTTTTCTCCTAATACCCACTGCTTGATCCTTTTCACGTAGATATTCCAGAGATCTCCTTTTGAGTCTATGGAATGTTCCTTCACCTTCCTGCTGACTGACTTTACAAGGAGGGGCTAGTGATAAAAAGATTAAATCAAGATACATTTCACATGAGGTTACTTTTGAATGATGCCAGTGTTGTCCCTTTTCACCTTCCAGGATTAATGCTGTGGAGTCCCATGCCTTCTCTAATCTCCGGAGTCTGCGCTACTTGGACTTGAGTTATAACCACTTAGTCACCATCCACCCTGATGCCTTCAGTGCTAGAAACAATTCAGTCCAGGAGTTGAATCTCAGTCACTCACTATACAACTTCTCTGCCATCCGCCCGGTGGCAGCTGCCCTTGCCCACGGGGGTTTCCAGAATCTCTCCAAGCTTGAACTCACCAGCAACAAGATCATTTATTTGCCACTAGGAATGTTGTCCAGCCTCTCTAAACTTGAGTACTTAGACTTGAGGAACAATTCCTTGATCGATATTAAGAACTCTACCTTTTCTGGACTTCACCTTAAGTACCTTGATTTGACCTCAAATGCCTTCAAAACTTTGAGGAGTGAAGCTTTGTTTGCCCTGGAAAGACAATCCTACCTTAGTCTCTTTCTGAAAGACAACCCTTTTGTATGCAATTGTGACATTGAGGACCTGGTCAACTGGCTGAACCAAAGCCGGCAAGTAGTAGATGTAGAAAAACTAGCCTGCATTTCCCCCCAGGATTTGAGGAACACCTCCTTGGTAGAACTAGTGGGAACAGATCTGGAGTGTCACTACAGTCAACATAGTGAAAATGTTCTTCAGTCCTCATATGCTGCACTGGGTATCGTTCTGGGGATAATTGGCATCATCTTCCTTTTTGTGCTTTATCTGAATCGTAAGGGCATCAAGACCTGGATGAACGGTCTACGGGACGCTTGCCAGAACCTGATGGAGGAGTACCACTATCGTTATGAAATAGATTCTGATCGCCACATCACACAAATTTCGGCAGTGGACATATGACCTCAGTCTTTTCTTTGCAGTGGCATCTTTCTTTCAAACACGGCCTGTGGCTTGCAGATGTCCTTTCCATCAAAAACTAAACTTTAAAGAATTGATGTATAGATTAAACTCTGTATGGATTCAAGGAATTTCCTTTCTTAGCACAAGGAATTTCTCTAGGACAGTGGTTCTCAACCTGTGGGTCGGGACCCCATTTGGGGTCGAGCGACCATTTCACAGGGGTCACCAAACAAGGCTGTCTGCCATTTTTTCCCCCTTTTCCTTAGCTGTGCTACTCCCTTTTATTCTATTGGCTTTTGAAAGACAATAGAATAGACTCTATTCAAGACGCTCTAGTCTAGGAGATTTGACTAACGGGGGACAAAAGATTGCATTCTTAGTGCCAGTCTTGTAAACGTGAGGGGTAGGCAAGTCAAAATCCTAATCTGTTCAAATATTTAGATTCCTAGAAGAATAGGTGTCCTGGATTCTTGCAGTCAACCTTAACTAGGAGAAATTTATTTTGTTCTATATCAACAAGACCATTTATGTAGCTTGCTTGTGGAGGAAACCGGTTCCTTAAATTACAGTGGGACTTTGGCTTGTCACATATTCTGCACTCTAGACCAGGGTTTCTCATCCTGGACCACTTTAAGATGTGTGGACTACAACTCCCAGAATTCTGAGAGTTGCAGATCATACATCTTACGGCCCAGGTTGAGAAATCTTGCTCTAAGCAGACAGATGAAACATTATGTGAAGAAAGAACAATAGTGTGCAAATGATTCTGATCTTCTGATAGAAGAGGTGGAATAGCAGTAGATTAAGAAAAGGCAGATGTAATCGTGACTTCCTTGTCTCCTCTTCCCGGGAGCAGGACTTTCCTGTTGTGATATCAAGAACCTTGACAGTCCACCCAAGTGTTGACTTACAGGCAGGAAGAAACAAAAGCAAAGTTTATCCTTCAGAAATGATATCTCTCTGATTGGGGGTCAACAGCAAGAGAGATGGTTGAAACCAAGTCCTGCTTATGAGCATCTCAAATGAATCTGACTTGTCATTACTGTACAGGGATCAAAGTGCTTGACTTACTATATATCAATATGTTCAGCAGGACCCTTCCTGTGTGAAACTCACCAGCTTGATTCACAAGCATACTGAGATCTGGCTTACTTCTCTCGTATGGCTTATGGCCTATGTGAATAAGCCAATGTGATTTTACAACTATAGACTATGATTTTATATGAATATGTTGTGTGAGCACACCCAAGTGTGTGTGTGTGTGTGTTTAGTAAATCACAGTTAAGTAAACTACAAGTTAGCATGTATGGGAACACTCACTGCCTTAATTCAAAAGTATATGCGTCTTGGCATTTGTGACAAGAGAAGGAATGTGTATTAAGTTAGAAATTTGTTGTGCTTAATTCATTCAATATATTCCACTGAATTAAATTAACAGGCTGGAGAGTTAAAAGGATGACTCTGTGTGCATGTACTTTAATGGGTATAGCATAAGCTGGGAAGATGGATCGTTGGGGAATTCTGGGAGTTGAAGTCCACACATCTTAAAGTTGTTGAGGTTGAAAAACACTGGCTATTGTTTTGTGAAGTATGCAAAGGGCAAGAACATTTACTAAAGTCCAGAATCCAAGTTGATAAAATAAGTAGCCACAATTTGGAGGCCCAGTTACGGAATTCAAATGCAAGTATAACTTAAGCATGCAGTTGGTGAATTAATAGAAACTAAAATCTCTAAACCACATTTTGTTCAGTCTTAGGAAAATATAACATGTGGGCAGGCATCAGCTCTAGAGTTCAGTATGTTACATTTTCTTCTCTAACTCCCAAGGCTGCCAAGCATCTGGTACAACATGATGTTTTATTGTATTAAAAAAAATGTCATAGTAAAAACAATTTTTAACCCAATGATTCTACTCATGTTTTTGCTTTCTGTTTTACCTGAACTTTTTTTTCCCACCCAGCTTGGGGAATGGGAGTCTCCTATTGTGTAGCCTTATGCTTGAAGGGCTTATATCTCTGAGGAACTGTCTAATCTAGTGTGTCTCAACCTCAGCAACTTGAAAATATGTGGATTTCAACTCCCAGAATTTCCCAGGCAGCACAGCTTCTGGGAAATGAAGTCCACACATCTTCAAATTACTGAAGTTGAGAAACACTTGTCTAACCAAAAGCCAACATAAAGAGAAAAGACCAGTGGTAGCTAATTTTTTGTTCCTCAGGCCCAGAATGGACTTCCGGAAGCGGCATCCACACAGAGAAATGGTTGTTCTCATATTTGAATCCCACCACTGGAAAAGACCCATAAGAAGGAATAACGGCCTGAAAGTCACCCATCCATAGTGAATTGAGCAACTGATTGTTATGATTATATATCCATTTACAGGTAGAACTTCTGAATGCTGGTTTTCCATCTCATTGTCCCTGGCTACCGTGTAGCAAAGAGACTTGAGTTTCCTACCTAAACAGCTCTCCAAACCCAGCTGCTGGTTGAGATGTAGTCAAGATTGGGGGGGGGGGGTGTGAAGCCATGCAAATATTCAATTCCTCCCCGTCTCTTTATGAGTTCTGGGCAAGTCTAGGTTAGAAAAAAACATTCTGCATTTTAAGGAACTGACATACTGCTGTCATGTTCTCTGCAGCCTAACAGTGCATTCTGTCCCCAACAGTGCATTCAGGATGAAGTGGACACGTCTGATCACATGACCCAGGTGAGCTCTGTTTCTTTGTTTTTAAGGTATTGTAAATAATTTCCTTGAGAGAGAGGAATGCTTTAGGATGGCTGATCTTCTGAGATGGCCTCTTGTGGCTTGGGAAAAGCTTAAACACCAAAGAGAATGAGGATAGAATAGAGTTGGAAGGGACCTTGGAGGTCTTCTAGTCCAACCCCCTGCTCAGGCAGGAAACCTTATACCATTTCAGACAAATGGCTGTCCAGTCTGTTCTTTAAAAACTTCCAATGTTGGAGCATTCACAACTTTGGGAGGCAAGTTGTTGCACTGATTATTTGTTCTAACTGTCAGGAAATTTGGTGCTAGGTTACTTCTCTCCTTGATTAGTTTCCATCCGTTGCTTCTTGTCCTGCCTTCAAGTGCTTTGGAAAATAGCTTGATTCCGTCTTTGTGGCAACCCCTGAGATATTGGAACCCTGCTATCATGTCACCCCTCGTCCTTCTCTTCATTAAACTAGATGTTTGCAATGTTCGTATCTATTCAATCTTGGAGACTCTAGACCAGGGGTGTCAAACTGCCAGCCCACGGGCTGGTTTCATCATACCAAAGCCGCACCCTATTGCTGGCAATGCAAAAAAAGTCGCGATACATCGCAACATGTCACATGACGTGGTGAGTTTGACACCCATGCTCTAGAGCAGGGGTTCTCAACCTTGGCAACTTTAAGACTTGTGGACTTCAACTCCCAGAATTCCTCAGCCAGCTTTGCTTTGCTGGCTGAGGAATTCTGGGAGTTGAAGTCCACAAGTCTTAAAGTTGCCAAGGTTGAGAACCCCTGCTCTAGACAGTATATAAGAATACCATCTATATCCAAGGAACAGTACAATATAGATAATCCTCTTTTAGTGACTGCCTTGGATAGTGACCATCTGCAATTATGACAGTGATGAAAAAGTAACTATCACCAATCCTTGCATTTACAACCTTTGCAGGTCTGTAAAGCAAAAGAAAGATGAAGCTGAGCCATGCTGGCTCAGGAATTCTGGGAGTTGAAGTCCACAGGTTGTGAAGGGGCCACAGTTGCTCCACTCTTGCTGTATAAGTTTCCAGCCAAGCACAAAATAACTTGCTTCTTGAAACGGAGATCTTAGACTTTTGTTGTGAAGCCATGCTACCACTTCCACATAATTTTATACACAGTATACCTGGGACTTGGCTGTTTCCCTTACTAATTCCCTTTTTTTAAATTTTAAAAAAAATCGAACATACAAGAAAAGCCAGTTTTACAACCACACTGTCCTACTCTTACTTCCTACAATCTACAGGGTGGTTCTGAAGATGACACTGTTCCCAGCTAAACTGCCCTGCTTTTTTGGAGTAGAGGAAAAGGGGGAGACACAAAACTTAAAAATAAAACATTCTTTTCCTTTTATCCTGGGGAGAATGTATGTTTTCCTCAGAGACCCCTTGAAGAAAAAATACAGGCATCCGTCACAACTTTAGTCCATTCTCTGGGACCCCTGAAGCCCCACTTAGCCACGGATCACTCACTTGGTTATCCCAAAGATGCTTTTTTCACGAGGCAACTAGACTTGCTTTTTTTTCTTTAAAGACGTTTCAAGAAGCTTCTTCAGCTCTGGGTGCACAGCTAAATATCTATGGAGATTCTCAGTCATCCAGAGCTGAAGAAGCTTCTTGGATGAGAAGCGAAACGTCTTCAAAGAAAAACAAGCAAGTCCAGTTGCCTCGTGAAAAAAGCATCTTTGGGATAACTATGACCTGGATGACTGAGACTCTCCATAGCTTGGTTAGTTTAACCTTGCTTGGTTAGTTTAACATTGGCTAACCGTGGTTTGGGGCTGGGGAACCGTACGCAAACTCCAGCCAGCGCGCTAGTTGCGGGGGGGGGGAGCAGCTGGTGGTGCGAACGGGCGCCCCCCCACCCCCTCCCGGAGACGAGCGCCTTCGACTCCGCTCCAGTTCCGCCCAGCCAGCCGCTTGGACTCCAGGCCTGGTTTCCCGGCGGCTGCGCTGGGCGGTCTTTCCCTCCTCCTGCGGTCGATTCAGCTGGGTCTCCTGCTGAGCCTGCCTCGGCGGCGCCTAGTTGAGAAAAGGCTGCCCGGCCGGGCGGACCAAGGGCGCTTCCGAGAACCGACTTCTCCGAAGAAATTGCTCAGCCAGTCGCCTCGCCTCGCCTGCTCTCCCACTCCCCGGCTCGCTGCCTGCATCTGAGCCTTGCAGGAGACACCCCACCTGGCCAGGTAATGCGCGCGCGCGCCCTCCCTCTGCACTTTTCCCACTTTCTTTTTTGTTGGCACAAAGTTGGCAGGTATGCGCCGAAAGTTCGCCGGCTTGGAAACATATGGCCGGGCAGGGCTGGACGCGGAAAGCGAGCCTAGAGGAAGCCGTCGAGAGAGGGAAAGTGGGTGGCTGGTGCCTTGTCCTGAGTCCCTCCTGGCTGGCAGATCCTGTTCCATTGTGCGCACCTGTTTGGGCACTGGCCAGGGCAAGAAGGCAGGCAGGCAGGTAGGGTGTGTGCGCACGTCTGCGTGTACGTGCGGGCTTGTCTGGGGAGCGATACCTGTGGGGCGTGTTCAGACAACACGCCAAGCTAGGGTTTCTTGAGCTTGGCTGGGCTTGTGCAACATGTCGAGCCACGAAGTCACAAGGCTGAGCTGGGAAAACCCAGCCTGAAGAGCTGCTGGCAGCTTTTCCGGAGCTGCCAAGTCTGGGCCCTTGAATCTTCTGCGGGATGCCCCCTCTGTCTCTTACTAGGGCAGGGGTCTCCAACCTTGGCAACTTTAAGACTTGTGGACTTCAACTCCCAGAATTCCTCAGCCAGCTTTGCTGGCTGAGGAATTCTGGGAATTGAAGTCCACAAGTCTTAAAGTTGCCAAGGTTGAGGACCCTCTGAGAGACTCGGACCAAGCGAGCTTCACCCTTCAGTCTCCGAGATAGTAGATCCCTTTGCTTCGTGGGCTGAACGTGGTTACTCTTGGTTAGTTTTGGAGAGGAGCGGTAGGTTTGATTAGTTGCAGATTCAGTTTATAGCTGAATCTTGCAACTAGATAAACGCACCTAGAGTGGTCTTACAGAGGCATTCACACACAAGTACGCACCCTCTTTAGGGTTCCAGTGTGTTGTGTTCTAAAGACAGTTAGCCAACTGTAACCCCAATCCTTTTCTCCTCCTCCTACTAAAGTGGCCTACTAAAAGTGCATGGGCCAGGTTATGCCAGACTCCCAATGTTGGCACCGTTAAAATCCAAAGAGAAGTAAATGTTTGCAATGCTGTAAAGACAATGCTATAAGGATTATCTTTTATGGTGTAAAACCTTTCTATAAAACCTACCCCAAGGGAAAGTGGCAAAGACATACAATAGGGAGGCGGCAATCCCCTTTCTTGTTGGTTTCCTCCTTGCTTACCAAGTGGTGTTCTTACAGGCAGTTGTCGAATAGAGAGAGCCAGCTGCCTTTCAGTTCCCCTTTGGTCTGTACTGATTAATTTCTACCTATTGCAGCAAAACTTTGCAGGACGCTGCTCATTTTTGAGTAAAGGTAGAACAACTGAACTTCTGTCTTCGGCACAAGCACTTCTTCCTGTTTTTGTTTCTTTCGCGTTTTCATTCTGGAGAAACTTGACCTGTGTTTTGTAAAACAGACCTGTCTTTCAAAGAGAATGTACAAACATACATACATACATACACCTCTTTGCACCTTTAATAAATTTGCTTAGAGTAGCAACAACCCTTTTGCAACTTAGGACTTGGAGCTAAATAATTTGAGGCACTTCATGTTGCTACTAGAGCTTCCTTTTTATTTGCATCTTACTTCAAGATGTGGTAAGCACCAGAGGGGAGGAAAAGCAAACTACCTGCACATTTTGCTTAAAGGGAACTTTTACTTAGCATTTGCATTTCATTTAAAATATGTGTACCCTTCCTACTGTCCCAAGACTCTCGTGTCAGGTTCAGAAAAAAAAGATAACAGTATTCTTGAGTGGTAGGCTACAAGCCACTTAAAAAGGAAGGTAAGATGATATAGTGGTTAAGTTGTTGGCCTAGAAAGCAGGAGACAGTGAGTTCTAGTCCTGCCTTAGATATGAAGGCCAGCTGGATGGTTTTGAGCCAATGACTCTCAGCCCAACCCATCTCATGGTAGTTGTGGGAAAAATAGGACAAGGAAGAAATATTTAATATGTTCGTTCCTTTGAAGAACCTATAAAGCAGTGTTTCTCAACCTTGACAATTTTAAGGCATGTGGACTTCAACTCCCAGAATTCCACAGCCAGCATTGCTGGCTGTGGAATTCTGGGAGTTGAAGTCCACATGCCTTAAAATTGTCAAGGTTGAGAAACACTGCTATAAAGTAATAAAGGTGGGACAAACATCTAATAAATACATGCATAGTTGCCTATCCAAGCAGGATACATGGTAATTTTAAACATGGTCATCAACATAGCAATCTCAGCAGAGAAGTATTTGAGAGGCAAGAAGCTATAGAAAGTATGTCCCAAATATAAGAGTACAAAACATGAGTGGTTTCCTGGTATCAAAAGTTGAAGAACAGGGAAGACGGTCTGATCTGCAGGGAAAGGTCATTTCCAAACTGGAGCATCTTCCCAAAGGAGAAGTCTTATAAATCTCTCTGGAGGAGCAGCAGAAAATAAAATTACTTTACTTCCTTTGAAGCATCATCTAAAAAGCTATTTCAGCTACAGTGTTGAGTTTATTTCAGAATCAGATGCTATTAAGAAAAAGTACAAGACCATTATAGGAGCTCGTCAACTAATCACAAACATTTTTATTCTTTCAGAATTGCTATTTTAGTTCTGAAGTTGCTTTTAGGAATTCTGTTCAGATGGTTATATTTTATCTTTAATGGTAAGTTGGATCATGTGCAGCTGTCATTTCTTTGTGAAGAATAGTTACTTTAAAAAAACCGCTCTCAATCTTGGTTGACAAAAACCTCAAAAGCAAACTAGATACCCAAAGTAAACAAAGGTGCCCTTTAACATAGTTTTTCTGCTTAACTCTCCCCTTTCTATTAAGCCAGGGGTCTGCAACCTTGACAATTTTAAAACTTGTGAACTTCAGCTCCCAGAATTCCTCAGTCATCTGGCTGAGGAATTCTGGGAACTGAAGTCCACAAATCTTAAAGTTGTCAAGGTTGCAGACCCCTGTATTAAGCTACTAAAGTTTTAAACCCATTTAATACATGGCTTGAAGTTGAGAGTCCTTAATTTTAACAGCAGGAGCTCAGTTGCATGGTGTGTGCACACAAAACCCTTTAGCAAGGATATTCTTTGTTTAGAAAGGGAGTGTCTGTGTTCCAACAGGTGAAGCTTGTAAATACCCAAGGAGGAACTTGCAGTATTTCATCAGGAGCTTTACAGATTTTTCTTCATTTCTTCCATACCATTGTTTTTGTTTCTTTATTTTCTTAGTACTTTAGGTAACAGCTATTTATTTATTTCCATACCACCCACATCTTCAGTCATGGTAACTTTGGGGAGTCTCAGTGGAACCACAATCAGCACAAGGGAAGAAGCACACTGAACTTCTGTGAGGTGAGATGTTTGCATGAAGGCCTTAACTTTATCTAAACAGGACGTGGGTGTTTGGTAGCATCTTAGCTTGCTTTGACAGTAAGTATCTTCCAGTGTCACAGAAAAATATGGTCTAACAGGACAACTGGCTTCTCCTAAGTAAGGGGTCTTCAAACTTGGCCCTTTTATGACTTGTGGACTTCAACTCCCAGAATTCCTCAGCCAGGCATGCTGGCTAAGGAATTCTGGGAGTTGACGTTCACAAGTCATGAAAGGGCCACGTTTGAAGACCCCTGTCCTAAGTGATCATCCAGAAGCCTTAGGAAAACTAGAAAGCAGAAGATGTACCCAATAGCATCTCCTGGTTGTGTTGCTGAAAGCTGGTGTTTAGTACTACCATTACATTAGTCAATATAGATGTCATGGTTCCGAGAGATGAATCTCTTCAAAAGAACTTTGAGGCATTGTTTTCCTTAAAGAATCTTTTATTCGAGAAACAAAGTATTGGCACTACATAGTTGAAGCCAAAAACTGAATTCCCCTCCCCTGGCACAAAGTAGCAAAGGACAATTCCCTCCTCCAATTAACAGTCATAAATCACATTCCCCAATTAACTTGAAGCATGGGCTTTCTCCCCAGCTCTCCAGCCCGCCAAATCTCTGTCAACCCTAATAACTTTCAGGTAGATCTACTATAAAATCCATAGCAATTTCTTCCCATGGTTGGGAAGGGTCCGCCACTGGTTGCAATAACCCAGGGGTTTTCCCCAGAATTCTTTTCATGGTGGCACATACAGCACAACTCCGGACATAGTTTTCCACGTCCCATTTCAATCCAGGCCACCAGAATTGCCAGCGGACGAGGTGAAGTGTTTTTGAATATCCAAAGTGCCCAGCCTGTTTTATGGCCATGTCAGAGCGCATTAAGGCGGAGGGTTTCTGGCAAATATAGCTTTCCCCCCTTATAAGTCAAACCATCCCTGCATGTTAGGGAGGTTTGATTATTCTTGAACCATTGGTCGGTGAGGAGCTCTTCTTTTATTTTCTTTGCCCCAGGGTCATTAGGGTTAGGGACTCTTGAATGAGGGACTCTGCACAGTGTGAGTTGAGAAGCAGTTTGTGGATTGGAGATAATTGCCTCATTAACCTCTGTTTTTTCCTCCCAGTATGTTCTTTAAGGTGAAATTAAAATGATTAAAGTGCTGCGCCCATTGCACTTGTTTCAGGAACAATTTGTGGGGAGGTTCTAGGTTTTTGTGATCAATCCATATCTTGAAAGGCACCTTGCTCCCTTCTAGATAGTGTCGACAATTTAATAGAGCCCAACAGATTGCGAAGGCTTCCTTTCCCCACATAGCCCACCTCCTCTCGCACTCAGTGAATTTTTTCAAGGTATAGGTGCAGGGTTGTAGGGTCCCACTCTGGTTCTTTTGCAGTAGCGCAGCTCCAACGGTCACATCACTGGCATTGGCTTGAATCACAAAGGGCTTCCCTGGGCAAGGATGCTTTAAGACCGGTTCGACTGTAAATAGTCTCTTTAAATTCTCAAAAGCAGTTTGACAGTTCATAGTACATGCTAGTGGTTGGTCTGGACGTGGCTTTCCTCCCTCTTTGCCTGTTTTTAGTAATTCCATAAGGGTAGGGCAATTTCAGCAAAGGAGGGGATGAATTGACTGTAGAGGTTGGCGAATCCCAGAAAGCTCTGGAGCTGCTTGTGAGTCTTTAGGGGCTGCCATTCAATTATGGCTTTCACTTTGGTTGGATCCATTTCAATGCTCTCACTGGAAATTCTGTAGCCAAGATAATCTAGTCGGGTCTGGTGAAACTCATACTTTGATAGTTTAACATAACGTTTGGTGTTCAGCAGTTTCTTTAGCACTTCTCTCACTAGTTTTACGTGGTCAGCCATATTCCTGCTGTATCGAGATACACCAAAACCCCTTTGTATAAATGATCAAGTAGTACCTGATTAATCAGCTGCATGAAGACAGCTGGCGCCCCCTGTAGTCCAAATGGCATGGTTTTAAATTGGTAGCTCCCCATGGGACAGTTAAAAGCAGTCTTCCACTCATCTCCCTCCTTTATCCTCACCCAGTAATAAGCCTCTCTCAAGTCCAACTTAGTGAAGACTCTCCCCTTTGCCAGGTGGGTTAGTAAGTCCTTCAGGAGGGGGAGGGGGTATTTTTTTCCACATTCACCATGTTCAGACCTTTATAATCCATGCAGAGACAAAGCAACTTGTCTTTTTTTTTCTTTAAATAACACCAGTGCTCCCACGGCAGACTTGGCCAGTTCGATAAATCCCCTCACTAGGTTTTTATCCACATACTGCTGCATCTCCTCCATCTCAAGGGGGGACATAGTGTACATTCTTGGTCGTGGCAGTTTGGCTCCTGGTAACAGTTCAATAGAGCAGTGTTTCCCAAACTTGACAATTTAAGGCATGAGGACTTCAACTCCCAGAATTCCACAGCCACACTGGCTGTGGAATTCTGGGAGTTAAAGTCCACATGCCTTAAAATTGTCAAGTTTGGGAAACACTGCAATAGAGTAATCATTGGGTCGGTGGGAAGGCAGAGTGTCACATTCTTTCTTACTAAACGCCTCCGCTAGGTCCCGGTATTTGATGGGGATGAGTGGCTTGCCTGGTTGAGACAAGGCAGCCATTTGCGCTAGCTCATTGGGTGGGCTAAGTTCTCCTGTGACGTCCGACGAGTTGGGGGGGGGGGGCTTGGGTCCTATAGGTAACCTCACAGTCTTCAGTCCCTTCTCCCACCAGATAAATGGTTTCCATTTGTCTAACCAGGCTAGTCCTAGGATCACAGCCTCAGTCATTTTCGGGGCCACCATGAAACGAATGAACTTCCAGTGCTCACCTACTTCTAAGCATAGGGGTTCAGTCAATTGTGTGACTAAAGTTCCTATTAGGGAGCTATCGGCTTGCTCAATCCTCACGGGTTTGGAGAGCAGCCTTGCTCCTATGCCCCTTTCAGGGCAAGTGATAAGCTAATAACACACCGGGAGCATCCAGAGTCGAATAGTACTTTCAAATCTACCTGTGCCTCCGTCTTAGGGATTATGAGTTTGGCAGATAGTGAAGAAGATGGACTGTATCAACTCACCATCAGGTTATTCTTCATCGTCGCTGTCATAGGAGGGTAGAGCGGCAGCAGGTCCGGCTTGGGTTTCGGCATTCTCCTGCACAGGGGAACGTGACTTGGGCAACAGATTCCTGTGTGATCCAATTGGATTTCTCTTTCGCTGGCTGCTGGGCTGGTTTCTTTCTTACTGGTGGTCCCGGTCTATTCTGCTGCTGAGGGTAAGGGACTGCGCGACTCACTGCTCAATGTCCCTGTTGTCCACATCTGAAGCACTTGATCGTTGGGCCTGCAGGTAGCCTGGGATTGTCAGTAGCTGCGATGGTTGGAGGCTTTTGGGGGGGCTGTCATTTGGGTTGATCTGGCCTTGGCTCAGTTTCTTGTGGGAGTGGCTTCTTATAGCGGGTAAGCTGAACATCCAGTCTTAATGCTGCCTGGTACCATTCTTGTAGCTGATTAGGAACTGCTCTATAGATACAAGCCTGGGAGAAGTGGTTGTCTAGTTCCTCCTTGAAGTGATGGACTAGGGATTGCTTGGGCCACCTCCCTATTCGGCCGGCTATCTTGTGAAACTCTTGTACATATTCCAGTGCAGGCCTGCTGGCTTGTTTTATCTTGTGGACTTGCTCCTCCGCTTTGAGGGGTCCTCAAACCTTGCTCTCAGTCCTAGGAGGAAGAGATGGGGGTCTTCCAACTCTGGTACTTCCTCGTTATATAAGTTGTTCAGCCACTCAGATGCTTCCCCTTCCAAGTTGGAAGCAACCACGTCGAACATAGTGGCTGGGTTCGGGTACAAATAGGTACAGCGGTTCAAGTGAGAGCGCACCTGGTTGAGGAAAAAGATCAGCTTCTCCGGGTCCCCATCGAAGGTTGCTCTAAGAGGTGGCGCTATCAGTGGTTGCTAGCCTCCCCACTGTGGATGTTGCACCCCCACTGGTTGCTGCCCCCCCCCATGGCAGCTGCTGCATCCCCAGTTGCTGCAAGCCTCCCAGCGGTTGTTGCACATTCGGGGGCTGTTGCCACCCCCACAGCTGTTGTTGCATTGCTGGCGGCTGCGGCATCCCCAATTGCTGTATGACCCTCAACGGTCTCAGCGGCTGCTGTGTTGGCACCCCCAGTTGCTGTGGGCCTCCCAGTGGTTGCTGCATGTGCAGGGGCTGCTGCCATCCCCACTGTTGTTGACCTTGTGGTATCCCAGTTGTGGCCTCGGAGGTGGTTGTTGTTGGATCCCCATCAGTTGCAGGGCCCTCAGCGGTTGCTGCATGTTTGGAGATGGTGGCCAGCCCCACTGCTGCTGCTGTACTCTCAGTGGTTGCAGACTTCCTGGTGGCTGCATCACCCCCGGTTGTTCCAAGGCCCCCATCTGCTGCTGCACATTCAGGGGCTGTGACTCTCCCCAGTTCGGTTGCTGCACCACCAGCAACTGCTGTCTTCCCATCTGGGGAGGCTGCGACATCCCCCATTGCTGTATGGGTCCTGGGCTGCGTGGCCGGTAAGCATGTCGATCCGGGGTTTGGCTGTCCCGGTGACGGCTCGGGGTCTTATCTCGGCGGCGGCGATCAGGGCTTTTAAAGGGCGACGACTGGAGCTGTCTCCCTATGGGGCTGGAGGCCATGGTTGGTGGCTTTGAGGACGGGGAAGCTGCCTGACCTGCACAGGTGGAGCTGGGGCTTCTTCTTGACATGAGTTGGTGGCTGCCTCGCCGATCATCATGATCACTCGCATATGGGGAACGGGAGGGTTGTTCTCCACTTCTCATTTCTAGATCCTCAAATCTTTCCACCAACCTCTCCACTGATTGACTACGGGCTGCGGACAGGTACTTCCACTCACCCAAATCCTCAGCAGTAGTCGATTTTGTTTTTCTCCACCGGTCCGGGAAACACGACGTGCGGGAAGCCCCTCTTTGCAACTCGACCTCGTC